GGTCCAGAAAAGGCCGCAACTGGTGGATCAGGCGTACCCGATAAAACGCCCCCCTGGTCACGGCCGACAACTGATCTTCCAGCGTCAGCCGCGAATCCAGGAGGACCCCCAGATTGCGCACCCTCTCCGAGGGGGCCAGAATTTCGCCCCCTATAGTCAGCGATGGAGTCAGCTGACTATGCCGCGGCGCCGGCAGCCAAAGCCACTCGGTCTAAACCTAAACCTCTTTACTTGCGTTTTTTTTTATTTTCCAAACAGCAAGTTTTAGGTTTTTTTGGCAGATTTAGAAGCTTAATCACAAGAGTTTGATGGTTTTGCTACAGCAGTCTACCCTAGCCAATTGGACCATTTCAAAAATAGAAAGTTTTTAATAAACTGTTGAAAAATGAGTAATTGATTCAGAAAAAAGGGCAACAGGAAAGTTCTAAATTCTTTTTGTTCCATTCTCAATATTGGCTGATACAGTCATATAATTTCTATGATTTTGGGCTGAATGCCAGTCTCCTAGTTTGGAGAGACTATTTTACCACAAAGGGAAATACTAAGGTCTACTCCAAAGAATAAAGAAAATTATATGGCTATTGATTAGAAAGAAAGCTAAAAGTAGGTAAAGGAAACCTAGGATGCAAAAAAGAAATACCTGGAGGTAAATGGGAAGATTCAGTATACTGTTGGACTGTATTTATATGAGCTTGGCTTTACAGAATAATAAGACTGTGAATACTACCTTTGAAGAAGGCCTATGTGTTAAAGGCCTGCATGGTTTTTTAACATATAGGGCTTTTCTCACATTTTATTGTTCTGTCTTCAAACATTCATTTATATCTGAAATCAAGTAGAGAAAGAAAAAAAGAACTTGCTTTGCATTTCCTATTTTTTCAGATTTTTTGAACAGCTGAAGCTACCAAGTATCAATATATTAGACATCAATTAAAAAAGTTGTTTCAATCATACTTCAGTGACTCCATATAAATACACAGACATGTGGGAAAAAAGAACTGATTCATGTTTTAATAAATATTCAAAATACAGTGCCAGAACATGATGCAGCTGAACATGCTAGTATGATCCATCATGAAGCACCTGTGCTCATGTGAGATTGATGGTATCCTTCTAGTGGTTCCTGGGATTAATGCCAGAGTAGCACTAGACAAATGCACTTCTGCACCAAGTATTCCTGAACAAAGTTCCCCCCCCCAGGAAAAAAATAAGACAGAGACACAAACAGTGTACGAATATCTGTACAAAGTCATACTACAATATTGTTGTTAAATTAACAAAAATAAAGATGTGGTTAATTCACACTATACCTTTGTTTATATTGGGGCAGGGGGAAACAAGCAGCAGGAAGTAATATAAGCCTCTATTTCTGAAATACAGAACATGGGGCTATTTACTGATCAAAAGCTCCACAAAGACCTGCACTAGGAAGGGCTAGAAATTCCTACTGCAAACCCAGCAATGTCAGTTCACATCTGGTAAACTACCAGCTGCTTGGAAGACCTGTGTTCTAAATAGACAGGAATATATTAGTGAAAATACATCCACCTAATCATCATCACGCTTGACTAAACTTGCAGTCATTGTGCCCTGCATGTCACCATAAAATGGAAGATCTACCCTTCCTACCACAGGTAGATCCCTGAGATTTTATTCTTTTACATGGCATTATTACACCAACACAGCTGTTGTGTATCGAGTCTGGCACATTCCATTAGGCCAATCTGTATAACACATACAGATACGTAGTTGCAGAACTCATTCAAACATAACTGGAAAATACTTTGAGGAATTAACATAACAGCCTGGAAATAGGAGCTACTTTGTGAAATGTTCCAGAAATAAATCTTTTCACAGGACTACAAATTTAGACAATAAGCAGAGGCTTTAAGCTATATACACACAACTATACATATACAATCATATGATATATATGATCATACACATACACACGATCCCATCAACTATCAGAGGGATTGTTTGAGTTTATGGAAGCATATCTAGTAATAATTTTCACTGATTTACACGCAATGGCCACCAAAAATTTAGAGAGGTCATAGATACAAGACAACTTAACATTTCATATTTCAGCCCTATTCTCTCAAATAGAATGTTCATAATTAGTTACAGGAATGTAGTCTCTGAACTATGGGAGCTATACAGATGGCAGTGTAACCATTTCCCCATCAAGATCAAACTCATCAGCCCCATCAGGAGGAAACAAATACGGTGGAGGTTTCCATCGGGACTCTTCAAGACAAGATGGATACAATTTTCCCACAGTGCATTGAAAATCTTTTCCCAAATCCCAGAGTACCCGCTCAGATATATGCTGCCACAAGAACCAACAATCAAGTTCCATGTCATATTGGTATGTAGTGTACTTGGTTCTCTCATTCATGTGAGTTTCTCGTATGAAGACACACAAAGAGTTAGAAATCACAACAGCTCTGACACAGGGGTCAGAATACCGCTTGGCAGGAATACTGGCTGCCATTTGCCATTCATTTTTATTCACATCATAAACTTCCACTGTTATGGAAGACCCATCTACAGTGCTAGCAGGTAGCCTTATACCAGAGTTGCTGCCAACATGCAAGCCTCCAATATAAAATATTTTATCTCCAAAAACAGCAGCTGAAGCAAAGCATCTACTAGTTTGTCTCATAGCCATTTCAACCCAAGCATCTGATCTGGGGAAGTAACAGTACATCAAGTTGTGTGCCATTACATAAATGCAGTTATGAATAGCAACTGCTGTACTCCACTGCCAAGCACAGGGTGGCGGGCTTACCATGGTCCATTCATCTTTCTCAGTATCATATCTTTCCACAGTTCTTCTGTTGAGTTCTCCACCAACACTGTCTCCACCAACTGCATAAATATGGCCTTCACAGAAAACAAGAGACGGCTTTATACGAACGAACAGCATTGGACTCTTTGGAAACCATGTATTTTGCTGAGCATCAAACCAATAAAAACAATTCATAGCACAGAAGGCAGCTTTACGTTTGCTAGTTTTACTATAGTCAGTTTTTGCGTTTTTCAGTGGGATTTGCCCACCTGCTATATAAATATCATTAACAGGAGTTACAAGTATCCCAACCTTATGGAGATCAGTAGGAGGACTGCAGAGTTTGTAAACTTTTTCAGCCTGTGTGTTGTAACATACTGAAGAGTAAAGATTACCAGGATTTTCAGCAGAAGCGTCAATAAAAATCATCATCTCCTCTTTAGTCATTCCAAGTCTTGGTTTAAAAAACTTCGGCATAGATTTATACAACCCTTGAACCACTACTGATTTATCATTTGGTGGTAAGCCTTGAAACCAAGCTCTTTGTGTAACTTCAGAAAGTGCATCAATTCTTATCTGGCTAAGAACTGATGACAAATACTGTGATCGAGATTCTGTATTGTACTCCAGCCATAACATAGCAGCTTCACGAACTGTCTCTTCCTTTTCCACATTTAAATTGTCACTACCCAGAATATCTATCAACAGATCACGTGAGAGCTGCATGAAAGCCTCTTGGTGGTATACAACTGTAAACTTGTGTTCTACCATCCTTTTGGCACTCTGTTTTAACTCTTCACAGCTGAAAAGATCAGCAAAACCCAAAAGCCGCACAGAGTTTTCAGCATTCATTTTTTTAATTAAATATTCCCTACACCGATGTAACACGTTATCAACCTGCAATGAAAAAATTAATATGAGAAGTTATCAAAGCACTGCTTTCATCATCTTCATACTTATGGCTAATAATAAAGAAATGGAATGTAACAATTTTCCTAGATTTCTATCCTCTCTCATATACCAAGTTACTGGCTATCACATATTAATTTAGGACTGTTATGGAAGCAGGTTATGGAAGAAGATGAACTACCCAAATTTCCTTCTGAGACCAAATTAACTTGATTACTAGGAAGTAATAATACTGTGCAAAGCGTCTAAAAGGGGAACTTCATAAAGTACACCGATGCAAGGAAAGCACCCTTTCCTGAAATATTACAGATTTGTGTGCATGTATATCCATTTTGATTCACTGTCAGTCCCACTGCACAGATCATCACAGAAAGCCTTCAAAGAAGCTATGTTGAGACTTCTGAAGAATATGGCTGCTTTCACACTTTGAGATGTGCTTAACCTTATCTTAATGTGCGTTGTAAAGAACCACTTCTGAACGCCTTGCATTACTCTAGTGAATAGGATTGTGCAGCTGCTTTAGAAACTGCTCCTGATCTACATACATGTACATACATCCATGTTCACTTTGCTTTGATGGGAAAACAATGAAGAAGCTGCACAAGCCTGGAAAAACACACAACTGCTTTAGCACTTCAGAAAAAAACAAAACAAAACAAAATCCTCATACACACTTCTGTACATTCTGAAGATCTTCTTCCAAAAGTTTATCATAAGGTTCTTACTTTTATTCAAACTATACAAAATAACACAAGAGTGTCTATTGTTTTATGAGATTTGTTGTTCACAATGAAATTAGTACCAATCAAGGTATTGTAAGGTTTTCCACTTAGCCTCACAACTGCCCCAGCATTACTCAGGAATTTAAAAGAGCCAAAGAAACTCCTGAGTCGAGGTTTCGGCAAGCAAACAACTTTTATTTTGATCAAAATAGAGTTGGGTGACCCCATCTCTCTTCGTGGCTGGTAGAGAGATGAAGGCAACAACCAGAAAAGATGTCTTCCACCTTTTATACCTTTCCAGAACAAAAAGATCAGGTCTTGGTGCTAGGCATAAGATGACACAAAAAAATAATTCCTAGATGATGACTCACACAGCAACCCAGGCTCCATCCGTAACTCCTTTCCCCCCTCCCCTTACTGTGCTCTTTTCATATAAGCAATCACCTATACCTAAAGCATGAAGCCCTTACTTTTCCAATATATATATAAAGCATCTGATCAAGCAATTAACTACAAAATAATGATTACAAAATAACAAAACAATGATTACATGATAACACTATAAGTATCAATATAAAATGGTTACTATATATAAAATAAATGCTAATGTAAAACTTAAACATACTAAAATCATAAGCACAATAAAATCCCTTCAGTATTTTTCACTATGCATTTTTATTACTGAAAAGATCATTAACCTCTCAGTAAGCAATAGCTTTCCATTATCTCTGTATTAATGGGAGAAGAAGAGATGTTATGATATTCTTTTACTCTGTGTCATGGGGATCAAAATCTTTAGAATTCTGCACAGTATTTCTTGCTGATTACTTTGAACTTGTGATTTTAATGTATTTCAATGTAGATTAATTCTGGAAAGAATACCTTACAATGCATCAAGCAAAATGGTTCCATGGATATATTTCTTCAACATCTTTATCCAGCAACAGCTGGAAATGTATGATGTGGTAAGTACAATATCAGATTTTATGAAAGATACAACTTAAGAAAACATGTCTTAGAAAAGTTAGTATAAAACAATCTTACCTGTAGGAAGCAAGCTGTTTCGTAAAGCTGTTCAACTGTTGTGTCATTTATTGCCAAATTACCTGTGTAAGCATAAGTTATTATGGTCTGTAAAGTGGCTGCATCCACATTCCTCAGATGAATGTGTGTTTGCTTGCTTTCACTCAACCCACTCATAAACATTGCCCTGGATGATAAAAAATAAAACTGTAACCATTTCTAGTTTCTATACAATTGTCCCAGTATTTTGGAGATTGTCTATTGTAGCATTCAATATAATGAATAGCTTCCAAAATTATGGATTCAAAATCTGTACATTCCAAGTTGTACTCTCTCATAATTTCATTGAAAATGAATCATACTTTACAAGGTCACTATAATACTTATACACCATCCCTGCTTTCAGTCTGGTTTAGGAGTGTTAGCATTCAGCATTACAAACTACTTAAATCAATGCAGAAAATACTGGAGCAGGCCTTGGGCTTATCCACTGTAGCTATTTCACAATGAAGCCTAGCAAGTAACTTTACAGTTATCTTGTACAGTTCTTTATGACTGGAAGCAGGGTCTAGATCAATGCAGATTATGCAAAATTATTAGGTATGCAGGTGGATAAACTTTAAGCCACCATCTCCTAACTATACATTATATAGTCTCGGGATATGCAGAATGTCCTTAATCTGCTTTGGAGAGTACGAATCTTCACAATTCATGGATTTAAATGTTTTATATTATACTTTACTGGTATCCCAATATACTCTCATTCAAATAAGGCATTCTGTTGTCAGGTCTGTTTTCAACCTTAGAATTGGCCTAGTCTTCATATTGCCTAATACTTGCTTCTACTGATTAACCTTCCTTCCAAAATATTCTTTTATCTCCAGTAAAGATAATCTTTCTACCTCAATTTGTCTTTATGCTTTAGGTTTACCTTTTTGAGATTTCTTTTAGATAAATTCTACTGTCTGCTTTACTTACAACAGAAGTCATGCCCTATAGTTCCATGCCATCTCAAGAGAACTCAGAGACCTCCAAAACTTGTTACTAAATTATAATTTTAATATGACAGAAAACATTATTAAATACATTACTAGAAAGTACTCATTGACCACATTTTAGTTCAATTAAAATCAACATTAATTTAGTCTCAGCTCCATGCATTATTTTTAGTGGGCGGGCTCAGATGTCAGTCCAAGGAAAAATGCAGCACTAGTTTTTAAAAAACTGCACACCAAATTCCTGAGTTGTTTCCAAGACCCAGATAAGTCAACAAACATGTAAAACAAAAATGGCAGATAGTTGCAGCAAAATGCTTTGTTTATAAACATGCTTCACTTGTCCAGTAGAAAAAGGTAAAGGTAAGATGGAACGATAGATACAGGTAGTCCTCAACTTACAACCGGTTGTTTAACAACCGTTCAAAGTTAAAATGGCCCATAAAGCACTTTCAGCCTTCATAAAATGTTGTGGCCCATGTTCACATGACGTTTCGGGCACTGAGCAACTAGCTTGTATTTATGACTGGTTGCCAAGTGGCCCGTGATCATTTGATTGCCATTTGCAATCTCCTCTGCTGGCTTCTCCAGAAAGTCACTAGGGAAGTCAGCAGGGAAGGTTGCAAGCAAAGGGGATGGAAGGGATCCTTGGTGAGGCTGTAGGAACAGGGCGGAAATCTTTAGGATTTCAGCTCTGTTGCTGCAGATTCACAAAGGATTTCCCCTCTGGGCACAGAGGAGAGCTGAAATCCTTTGGCTAACAGCTCTTTCATTCCATCTGCTTAACAACCCTGGAGATTGCTTAATGACTGGAACCATGAATGCCAGGATTGTGGCTGTTGAGTGAAGCAGTCACATGGGCATCTCAATTAACAACCACTTTGCTCAACAACCAAGATTCCAGTCCTAATTGTGGTCATAAATTGAGGACTACCTGTAACATAATGGATGAGACAAATTTAAGGAACTGTGGGCTGAAATATTACCAGTTTTCTTCAGAGAGCACCTATAAGATGCTCTGAAATTTCAAGGATGCCCAGGGACACCAACAATTTGGCTATTCTTGTCCCAGTACATGACTGTTGAAATAAACATCATGTATTTGATGGCTATTTTTATGTTCCACATTGAGAAAAACCCTGAAACACTTGACATGCACATTAGTTCATTAACCTGAGTTTAAATTGCATAATACATAATTCATTGAGGGTGAAGTTTCGTTGTCCGAGGTTGTGGGTTGATTTCCAAACATTTGTTGTGGGTTGATTTCCAAACATTTCGTTACCAGGCTACGTAACATCTTCAGCGGAGTTTAGGGGTCCCCTGAACTCCACTGAAGATGTTACCTAGCTTGGTAACGAAACAGTCGGAAACCAACCCACAACCTTGGAGAACGAACCTTCACCCTCATCCTACACCCAAGCTAGATATTCACCACTACTGCAAACATAATTCATTTACTGCAACTTAGTAGTAGAATCCAATTAATTATACTATGCAGAGATATTTTGAATTTGTTATTTCTTGGTAAAAATAGCATTAGTTTAAACACATACCTGAAGTAAGAGCTACATGTAGCAAGAACCATCTTATGGCATGGGAATTCAGTGCCCTCAACAATTAAAACAATGTCAGTTAGCAAGTGCTGTTCATAGAACAAGTTTAACTGTTCCAATAAGGATACAGCATATTCTCTATTGATCTGTATTTCCTTCTGGGTAGACATGACTGCAGTCCATTTAATATCTCCAAGATGAGTTTAGTCAGTTGATTTCAGAAGATGTCAAGCTACCATTTCCTGAATAATTAAGAAGAAACTACAGAGGGTATTGCTTGAAGTATTTTAACACATTCTTAACATGTTTATTGGTGGTGGCTGGCCTGCTGAATCAAGAATGCTTCATATTTTGACCCATTCCTAGAGTGTAACACATTGACGTGATGTCCATATGTTCTGAGACTTTCAAGAATAACTGACAAATTCCTGTTGAGATCTCCAGTGATGCAGCACATGGGAAAACAAATGAAATCTGTGAGGTAGATAATCATCTCTTAACAGTGACTTGCAACTGTAAGAGAGAAAAAAATCAGGTCAGTGATTTTATATAAGCCAATCTACCATGATTTTGCCTAAAATAGTGTCTGGTATACCACTTTCTACAATTATCCATTTGTTTCATCAACAACAGGTGCAGAGGGAGTTCAATACTGCCTCAAGATGAATGCATTAGGAAAGTGTACAATTAGAAATGAGATACTAAAAAGCAGTAAAGAGCATATAAAAGCTATCAAGATTGCCTTTATTTTCACTGGCAAAATACTCTTAAACACTGATTTAATATTATTCTAAAATACGTACAGGTAGTCCTCAACGTACGAACACAACTGAGTCTAAAATTTCCATTGCTAAGTGAGGCAGCTGTTAAGTGAGTTGTGCCTCATTTTACAACCGTTTTGCCACAGTTGTGAAGCAAATGACTGCAGTTAAGTGAACCATGCAGCTGTTAAGCAAATCTTGCTTTCCCCATTAACTTTGCTTGTCGGAAGCTGGCTGGGAAGGTCACAAATGGTGATTGCATGACCCCGCGACAGTGCAACTGTCATAAATACATGCCAGATGCCAAGCACCCAAATTTTGATCATGTGACCATGGGGATGCTGCAATTATTGTTAAATGTGAAAAATGGTCATAAGTCACTTTTTTCAATGCCGCTGTAAATTTGAATGGTCACTAAATGAATTGTAAGAAAAGGACTACCTGTAAACTGGTCACAAACTTCATCAGATTCCACAGAACCACAGAAGCATTCTGAGATCGTATGACTTAGAATCAAGTATTAATCTGAAGTCATAAAATGGAAAACTCACTTAGTTTCACATGTTTAACATTCATTTGAAAATTTCATCTGAGGAAAGTATCAGTATCACATTAAAATAACTACAAAACATCACCAACTTTCCTTGTAAAATATAATCCACTATGTATTGTAAAATATTATCTTCAATATAAAGCATATAGTGAGATGGGTGCCATATAAATTTAATAAATAAATAAAAATAAAAGCTTATAAATCAGACATGTCAAACACAAGGCCCGTGGGCCGGATCCGGCCCGGGGAGGGCCCAAATTTGGCCCCCTTGGCCTGTCCCAGAAATGGCAAGGCCCCCGCTGCCCCAGCCCTGGCGCACCCCAACCCAAATGGGCGCCCTGGCGCACGTACAGAAAACGGCGAGCGCTCTTGAGGTGATTACAAGACTTTATAAGATTTTTATATGACCTTAACAAGATTTTAACTTATGTTTATAAGTGAAAGTATAAGAGAAGAAGGAGAGAAGTAAAATGGCTTCTAAGCGTGTGGGAACTTTTGTTCCTCAGAAAAGTATAATCTCCTCTCCAGCTGTTCAAACACCACAGCAGCCAAAATCTAAGACTCCTCCGCCCTCCCCCCCAATCCCAGCACTTACACTGAAAGATATTCAAGATGCATTAAAGGACAATGCTAGACAGATTAGAATGGAAATGGAGGATATGTTTGAACAGAAACTTGAACAGAAACTTGAAGAGAAGAATACAGAGTTGAGAGATGACATAGTGTTTGCATTGCAAGGTCTGGCAGTTCATGTAGAACGTATTGAAGGACGGGTGGAGGAAGTGGAGGAACATATTGAAAATGTGGAACTTAGATTGGGGAAAGTGGAGGAGGCAGTGGATTTAACTCAAAATGAGGTCATTTTGTCACAATACAGAGAAATGGAATATGCTTTGAGAATAAGAGGGCTGAGAGAAAATGCTCAAGAGAAACTAGAGGACGAGATTGCAGCAGATCTGGCCTTGGTTTTATCCTGCCAACCTGATGAAATAAT